CCCCCTTGGACCCCCGGCAGAGTCGCAATATATCTACACTTTCACTTAAATTTTTGGTGACCAAGAGTCATTGCGTGATAGGTGGAGAATTGATCCGAAAATGTGGTGGATTATACATGGAGCTTCAGCACCTCTACTTCAAACAATCGCCATAAAATTGCTTGGCCAAGTTTCATCCTCATCCTGTTGTGAAAGAAATTGGAGCACATACTCATTCATCCAATCAATGAAGAGAAATAAAATTACTCCACAACGGGTTGAAGATTTAGTTTACGTGCATACAAACCTTCGACTTCTCTCAAGGAAAACTCCAACTTATATGGAAGGAGACAACAGGATGTGGGATGTTGCTGGAGATGGATTTGAATCTCTTGAGGATATGGGAATATTAGAAATTGCTAATCTTTCACTTGATGAGCCTGAATTAGAAGCTATGATATTTATTGAAGATGATATAGAAACTCAAAGACAAACCACTGAAGAAGCTAATCCTATCATTCCTTCTATTGAATAGTTGAAATTTCATGTGTTGGGCAATTTATCTTCTTGTTTTTGTTGTTGTACTAGACATTTCAATACTTAATACTTACTTTTATTTCAAATTTTTTGTCATTTCAAATATTACACTTTGATTACTTTATTAATTTTTATGTATTATTTATATATTATAATGCCGTATCCGCGCCGTATCCGTATCCTGTATTTTTAAGAATTGGCGTGTCCCGTATCCGTATCGTGTCGTATCCGTATCGCCGTATCCGTATCGGTGCAACATAGATTAAAACTATCAATCCCTCCCTCAGGGAAGATTTTCATTTGTAAAATCATTCTTGTTTTTTGAGCCATCAAGATATCTGAGAAAATAATAATTTCATTAAAAATTACATGACGCCATTTACATAAAACTTTGGCCTTGTAGGTGAAGGAAGTTATTTTAAAGCTTAATCCTTTTTGAGAAGTTTTCAAGAAAGCATTGTGGTTTTACAAGATTATCTTATACAAACATGAAACAAAAAGGAATGAAGACAGTTTTGAATGCAACCAACAGGAAACAACAAGCAAATAAGCAATAATTCGGTTTAGCATTTTAAAGCTCTAACACTAGGATTTTTTTCCCTCGCCCATAACAAGTACAAAGATTCTGGCGGTGTGGTATCAACATTGATGATTGACTTATCATCATTGTTATCTAGTTAGAGCAAATCTTATCTTCATTGCTTTACATACGTGGAGAACAAGGAGTTTCACGTGCCTGTATGTAGTTTCAATGACAAAAAATGAATTCTTTTAGGGCTTTTAAAGCTAAAATTTTTATCGCTTGGGCTGTGTTATTTATTGATTCAAGGAATGAATTGCTAATAATAATAATGGCTAAATTTTAACTAGAATGAGACTGTAGTCAATATATGTTGGATGCATATGTAAAGCTACTGGTAATAGGCGGTGCATTATCAATTGTCATATTGCATGCTTGCAAAGCTACTGGTAATAGGCGGTGCATTATCAATTGTCATATTGCATGCTGATAAGTGAAGGATTCGGGGTCACCTTGTAGTAGTTGATGAACATGTTAAAGATCAATTAAAAACACACTCATAATTAGTTGAGTACTAGCTGATGAAATGTTCAATTTTCTTTAATTTTTTAAGATGTAGTTGTTTACTTTGGTGGCTCCTTAGGTACTATGGAGGATGGGCAGCACCCAATATATATTTCTTGGGGTTTTCTGGAGTGATCAAATTTGGTAACATCCGTATTGGTGGGCTTTCTGGTATTTACAAATCCAAGGATTACTACTTAGGCAAGTGTTGGCTTACAGTAATTCCTTGTTACTGTTTCTATAAATTGTTGAATAGATCTAGCTCTCATAATAGGTTGCATACTCTGCATTCATTTCATAAACGTTATCTATCACACCTGTATTTTTCATTGCACAGGTGAGACTTTATTGCACCACTTTTTGCGCACAAGCTATAAAATCCGTTAATTTAGCATGCGCAAACTTGTGGCTTGTGCAAGATTATTAATTTCTGCTCTGAACTGTTTCATCTTTGAAGGACATTAGAGCAAATTTTGAATATTATATTGGAGCAAGTTTAACTTTCATTAGTTTTACTAGCCTTGAACCAACAAACTACTTCATTTCCGAGCAGGTCACCATGAGAGGCCTCCATATGATGATAACAATATTCGATCTGTATACCATGTACGGCAGTATGATGTGCTGAAGCTGATGCATGTTGCGGAACCGATAGATATTTTCCTGTCACATGATTGGCCTCTTGGGATCACTGATTATGGAAACTGGGAAAAACTTGTTCAACAGAAGCCTTATTTTAAAGAAGAGGTACCTCAAGTGCTGTTTATAATCTTGTTCATATTCATGTTAAGTTATTGGATAAACATGTTTACTCTCAGAGTAAGCTGGTTGTTAATCTAATAATCACGTTCATAAATTATGTAGCTTCATTGGTTTTATTCATATTATGTTGTGCTGATGAAGATCTGATGCCTCGTTAAACTCTTGGAATTGTTGTACTTGGTTGGGCAAAGTCTTAAGCGTGAGGCAAGAGGGTTTACGTTCAGGGAGGGAAAGGGAAAAAGTAGGAAGTGTTGGTTTATGCACTTCTAGGAAGTGTGATGTAGGTTGGGAGAGGAGCTAATAATTCTCCTCTCTCATAATTTCTTAACTTTATCTCGTCTTTTGATTGGTATTTGTTAACCTAGCATGAGCCAAACCCTTTTTAGGGTCTATTTTTTTTAGCAGAGGATTGATCAAAGTTGCACATGCCAAACGTGGAGACTAATTGTCAAATAGTTTATGGCAATTTTCTCCTTTTATCCTTGTTTATTGAAAGAATTTTCCTTGTTGAAATAACTTGTACGCCTCATCCATATACTTTCCCACAAAACACAGGGCATTGGAGAACTCTTGTTGTAATTTTTCATTGCTATATACTTGTTACCTGTCAAGGTTCTTTCAGATTGCATTTTGATGTTGTATGATACTGCTGATCTTTTAGGTAAGGTTGAAAACCCTTGGCAGTAAACCAGCAGCAGAGCTGCTTGATAAACTGAAACCACCTTATTGGTTTTCAGCTCATCTTCATTGTAGATTTCCAGCAATCATCCAGCATGGAGAAAATGGACCTATCACCAAGTTTCTTGCACTTGATAAGTGCCTTCCTGGGCGCAGGTTCCTGCAGGTGTTTGTCCCTAGTTTCTAATGTTTGGTTCTCTGTTCACCGTTTGGATTGGCAAATTCAAGATTTCTGACTTTGCACATTTAGATCATTGAAATAAAATCGGACCCTGGACCTCCCGAGATTCAATATGACGAGGAGTGGCTTGCTATTACACGAAAATTTAACAACATATTCCATTTATCTCGGGAGTACTTACGCCTTAAGTAGGTTAATAATTTTTCCCACCTTTACATCTCAAGATTTGCTTACCTTTTTTCTTGGAAAAATATCCGTACTTTATTTTAAGTCGATGTACAAACAACGCTAATTTAATTTGAGCGGTTTTATCAGGAGCGACCATCTTGACAATCAAGATTCTCGATATTGGGTGAAGAACAAGTTGAATGTTAGAGGGGCAAAGCCTTTTGAGTTCTCACAGACGGTACCTTCATTTGATCCAAATAAGCCAGGCTCCACTGTGCCATCCGGTATTTTTTTTAACAAAAAAATGCTTTTTTATGTCCATTGTGAAATATGTCCATCCTTCCAATTATACTATGGTGGATAAGAAGCGGCTAGGTGGATAACAATGTCTCCTCATTAACTCATTATAGATTCTTTATATGGTATGTGCTAGAAGGCTCCCAATGCTAAAGCTTATGTGCATAATCATACCTCTCGCAGTGAATGTTTGTTTCTTTCTTTTAAACTGGTGTTATTTAGGTAATGACAATGAAGGTTTCTCAATAAAATTTAAGTTAATTATTTACTTAAATTTCGAGAAAAAGAGAAACCACCTAACTTGCTCGGCTTGGCCTATTGTCTGTCGATTAATGTCTCGCACAGCTTTTTTCAGAGTTGGATTGCCTCATTACTTGTCAAAGAAATCGAAGGAGACTACCCCTCTATTGATCTATCTCTTCCTCTCCATTTTTTTCTTTATATTTCTCCATCTCTGACTTTTTGTCATCATCTTATTATCCCCTCTTCCCTATCTCTCACTCTCTCGGTCTCTGTCACTTTCTTGCTCGTTCTCTTTGTGGTTTGCTCTCGATTTCGCCTTCTCAGTTCTAGTCTATGGCCTCCACATCTATCCTATCACCCCATGTCCCCTCTTGCAACTTTAATAGGGGAAAATTGAGTAATATTGGTTTAGTTAAACCGGCTTGGGGTAAAATCAAATCCCATTAGGAAGGGCTTTCTCCGGCAAGACACCTAAAACAAATTCCCCAAACTTCTATTTATTACCTCAGTTTGTGGATGATAAAACACTACTGAATTGCAGAGTAGTTCCTAATTTCGATCAAAGTGTTCTAAAAAATGACAAGAACCTAGTATCCCTATCAGATGTAGAAGTTCAAGGAATGCCATGCAGTTGCACAATTTTTTTAAAAAATAAATCAGCAACATGAGATGCATAAGAGGTTTTCTTACAAGGAATGAAATGTGCCATTTTACTAAATCGGTCAACGACAACGAACACAAAATTAAATTTTCAGGCTATTATAGGTAATCCTAAGATGAAGTCCATAGTGATATCTTCCTAGTATTTGTTTGGAATCGGGAGAGGAGTATATAAACTAGTTTTCTGAATTGTTCCTTTGAATGTAACAGGTTTTACATTGTTTTACAAATATGGATGTATGTCTTTTGCATGTAGGGCCAGTAATATCGTTCTTCAACTAAGGTTATAGTCTTTCATTGACCAAAATGTCCTCCTAATCCTTCACCATAAAGTTCTTAGATGAGTTTTTCATGTAAAGAGCTTTGGGTGATGCAGAGCCTAGTTCCCTTAAATAGTAATTCTTGTTGAATGGTAAATTGAGCAGTGGGGTCAATTCCTAAAGTACAACATGATTCCCAAAGAATTTTAAAGTCTGGGTTTGTGACATAGTTATCTTTCAAAGAATCAAGGGAGTCCACAGTTAGTTGAAGAGTTACTAATAAGTGGGCTTGCCTGCTTAAGGCATCAACGACTTTATTTACGACTGCAGCTTTGTGTTCAAGATGAAATGTGTATTCTTGTAAGAAAAATGTCCATTTAACATGTATTCGATTTACATTTTTTTGAGACCCTAAATATCGTAGTGCTTCATGATCGGAGTTTAACACAAATTCTTTTTGAATAAGATAATGTCTCCAGAATTTTAGGGCTTTGACAATTGCATAAAATTCTACATCATATGTTGAATATCGGGATCGGTTATCAACCCTCTTGATTAAGGACAGCTCCTTTGCCAATATAGGATGCATTAAAGTCTACTTCAAAAATCTTGTCAAAATCTGGTAACCTAAGAATAGGTGCTTGACTCATTTTTATTTTAATCAGTTGAAATGCTTTTTCAGCTTCAGGGGCCTACCAAAAATTTCCCTTTTTAAGACAATCCGTGATGGGCGATATCAAAGTACTAAAATTTTTCATAAACCTTCGGTAAAAAGAGGCTAATCCATGAAATCCTCTAACTTCACTAATATTTTTCGAAGTCGGCCAACTTCGGATCGCTTCTATTTTAATGGGGTCTACTATAATACCATATGCAGTGACAATATATCCAACAAAAGTCAAACAATGAGTCATGAAAGAGCACTTTTTTAAATTGATGTACAAATTTTGTTCTCTTAAGGTTTTGATGACTTGTTTCACATGCTCAAGATGGCCGTTGGGACAAGTACTATAAATCAGGATGTCATCAAAATAAACCACAACAAATTTTTCAATGAAGGGACATAAGATATGATTCATGGTTCACATAAACATGTTAGGTGCGTTTGATAGGCCAAAGGGCATGACTAGCCATTCGTTGAGTCCTTCCTTTGTTTTAAAGGTTGTTTTCCACTCATTGCCGGGACGTATTCGGATTTGGTGATATCAACTTCGCTAGTCAATCTTAGAAAAAAAATTGGCACCACTAAGCATGTTGAGCATATCAAATTTATGAATAGGAAACCTATATTTGATAGTTATCTTATTTATTGCCTGACTGTCAACACACATTCTCCAAATTCCATCTTTTTTCAGTGTAAGCAAGGCTGGGACGACATATAGACTCACGCTTTCTCGGATTAATCTTTTAGTTTAGACTTCAGTCGCTTGTTTGCATAGTTCTTCTGTTCAGTAGTAGTCTTACAATAATGAGGCAGGTGGGATAAGTTTGCTCCAGGTACACGATCAATATTGTGTTGGATATTGTTAGGAAGTACTTGAAAATTTCAAGTAAAACCTAACACTATTGGTAAAAACAACAAAAATGGTCCACAACTCCAATGGAAAACAACAAAAATAGTAATTTTATTGCAAGAAATCAAATAGAACGGAAAGAAAATACCAAGATACAATTGATCATATATTCGAGAGGCAGATCTCTCACTCTCAAATCTCTTGACGTCGCTAGAGCCCAAAAATCTAAACCTAAGAGATCTCAAATTTCAGCCAAATTCAAGATGTCCTAACCCTAGGAAAATCACCTATTTAAACAAATAATAAACAATAAATTTCTAAACAACCCTCCCCCAATTCCGTCATATTTTCTTGGTTATTTCCCTCCCAAAGCAGCTCTCAAATTAGCCCCTAAATTTGTCATTTTCAATTAGAAAATATTTTTTAATTAATCCCCTCCAAATCAGCCACCAAATTAGCCCCCAAATCTGCCCTATTCAATTAGGAAACATTTTCTAATTAATCCCTTCCAAATCAGCCCCCAAATCAGTCCTATTCAATTAGGAAACATTTCCTAATTAATCCCTTCCAAATCAGCCCTCAAATCTTCAATTATGAAACATCTTTTAATTAATTCCCTTTGATTAAGAACCTTCCTAAATAGCTCCATCTTGATCAGGAAACTTTTTAATTCCCTCACAATCAAATCAGTTAGTCCATCAATACTCCTTATGCCACCTTGTCCTCAAGGTGGAACGAACGAAACTGCTGTTGAAGCACTTGACTAATACTATTGGACTGAAAAATGGGCTGACACTAGGTTGAGTGATCCCTGCCTCAAGCTTCTCCTTGATTAATCTCTCAATCTCTTTGTTCTTGATTTGGGGTTGACGGTATAGATGAACACTGATAAGTGAGATTCCTTCCTTCAAGATGATGATATACTTGCGTTCTCGCGAAGGAATCAACCCTTGAACTTGCTAGAACACACCTCGATACTGTCGTAGGGGTGGTAGAATCATATATGGTGCTTTTATCCTCTCCCCATCTTTTTCTTCTTTCAAATTTTTGAGCTCCACCAAAAAGCCCACCTGTTCACTCTTTCCCTTCTTTGGAAGTCGCTCCAAAGATGACATCTCATCTTCTTCCTCCAAAACTTCTACATCCTGATCCTCCCTCATCATCCCTAAATTATGGTTTCCCCCACTTCCCTGCATGTTAGCACCTACCCTCACCTCCGACGATGATCTTTTTGTTTGTCCTTTGAGCACTTTCTTCAACATATCCTCTAGGATTGAAAATTTTGAATCGAGCTTATCATGGATGATTGAAATATCCTTTTTTTAAATGAAACTTGAGTTTGGAGATATGAAATTTCATATTTCATTTGTCCGATCTACCTATCCAATACTTCTACTTTTCTTCCCGCCATGGGAACCAGGATTTAGGCTCCGATTGCAAAGAGCAACAAGTTTGACGCGAATCCGACCTCCAAACCACAAAAAAACAGCAAGATCGGAGAGGAAAACGTAGCATAAATCATCGAGGAAGACTTCTATTTCAGCCCAGGAAATTGCTCTGATACCAATTTGCTAGGAAGAACTTGAAGATTTCAAGTAAAACCTAACACTATTGGTAAAAACAATAGAAACGGTCCACAAAAAACAATAATTTTATTGCAAGAAATCAAATAGAGTGGAAAGAAAATACCAAGATACAATTGATCCTCTATTCAAGAGGAGGATCTATCTCTCTCAAATCTCTAGACGCCACTAGAGCCCAAAAACCTAAACCTAAGAGATCTCAAATTTCAGCCAAATTCAAGATGCCCTAACCCTAGGAAAACCACCTATTTAAAGCAAACAATAAACAATAAATACCCAAACAGCCTTCCCCCAATTTCCTCCTATTGCCTTGGTTATTTCCCTTCCAAAATCAGCTATCAAATTAGCCCATAAATCTGTCATCTTTAATTAGGAAATATTTCTTAATTAATTCCCTCCAAATCAGCCACCAAATCATCCCTATTCAATTAGGAAATATTTCCTAATTAATCCCCTCCAAATCAACACCCAAATATCAGCCCTATTCAATTAGGAAATATTTCCTAATTAATCATCTCCAAATCAGTCCCCAAATCTTCAATTAGGAAACATCTCTTAGTTAATTCACTTTGATTAAGAACCTTCCTAAATAGTTCCCTTTTGATTAGGAAACTTTTTACTTCCCTCACAACCAAATTAGCTAGTCCATCAGATATCTCTCAGAGGAGGCAAGGAATCAAGTAAATCTTTAGGAGTTATGTTTGTATATTCATTTTTTTAATGTTTG